GGCCTCAGGGTTCACCAACAAAGAAATTCACTTTCCACATACTGTCCTTACTGCCTTGGGGTCCTGTGTTGGCAACCATGGACCCTGAGCCTCTTCATGCTATTGACTTGGACATGAAATGTCCTAGAACTGAGGGGGTTGAGCAAATGGCTGTCCCACACAGGACAGTGGGAGATTTCCTCCCTGGGGGGTAGTCCATCATCCAGTGACCCCAGGGTACACACTTAGGACATGACCTGGGAGGAGGCAGTCCTTGGCTCAGTGCTAAGTATTGCCACATGGATTACAAACCCCTGGAGAGTAGGATCTTGGTTTGCAGATTGGGATTCGGGGAATCAGAGAAGCAAACATCTGATACTTTAATTCTGTATCTTTTACCTTCTCGGCTCTTAGTTCCTCATCCCTATTGCTAAATACATGAAAAGCCATGTCTATGAGGTCTCTGAGGGGGGAGGAGGAGGGTCTGTGGACCATTATCCAATTTTGGAGTTTGCACTGGATTTCTGGGGCTTATTGGGACATAAAGTGGGTTTCTAAAAACAGCCATCCCTGGGGAATTGAAATCTGTGTTGGCATATTTTGTCCTTGCCTCTTGTAAAGCAAGCCATAGAAACAGCAGGATTTTCATCAGATTCCTGAGTGACTTCCTAGATTTTATCATGATTAATCCATTAATGGCAGTCTCTATCCATAGCCACTGTCAGGCAGATCATACTACCTTAGGCCTGTAGTCCTGGATCCCCAGGTTGGTAGGTCTAATCTGAGTTAGAGGCCACTAGGGCCATCCCTAGAGCCAGACCTAGGTGTTTGCGATCTTGAGGCACATTTCATCTGCATGCTACTTGTCAGCATGCCAAATAGGTTCAAATTTGCCCTGTTTTCTACCTTAGCTCCAGATGAAGTAGAGATTGTGCCAGGCCAAACTATAGGACTAAGTCAAGCAGAGAAACCCCTTACAATATTTGGGGGAATTCTCTGACAATGATCCTAAATGCTCCTTAGTGTGGCTAAGTTGTGGTAGAGAGAAGGGCATGCAGACCACCCCCTTTAGTGGAAGCACATGTTGGGAACAATGGTCAGACAAGAAATCAGGTGGGTCAGACAAGAAATCAGGTGGGTTGGCCAGAGATGAATGGTCAGACAGAGGCATGAGAGGGCCCTGAGGTGAGCAGAATGGAGGGTGGTCAGCCAGGTTGAAATTGCACAGAGAATAGGATGGGGGAGGAAATGAAAAGGAGTTACCAGGAGGGCTTACATCCATGTAGAGAGCAGAGTAAGAAGGGGATGAGGTAGGCAGGCCAGAGGAGGAGGGCTGAGGATTGCAAGAGGAGGATGGAGGGGCAGTTTGGGAGGGGAACCCATTTCCGGCTCTCCTAGAGGCTTAGATTCCTGAGGCCTAAAGGGGAAGAGAAAGGGGATACCCATGGCCTGAAGGAAGTCGACCTCAGAAAGAGAAAAAATACCTGGATAAGAAGGGTCACTGTCATTTTTCAGTGTAAAATCATCAAAACTTTGGAGGCCAAACATGCTGAATTCTGGGCACTTAGAATTATTGTCCAGTGTACATCGGGGCCAGACTTTAGTAAAATTAGTCATTTTGGCCTTACCTCTGCCTTTAGGTCCAACCAATACAGGGTTTTTCAATAGACCAGAGGTTAAGCAGAATATGGAGGCTCAGAGGTGAGAGAGTCATTCCCTAAGACATATCCACCAGAAGCTTCATGCAATGGGACTCTTCTCTTATGCTTCTCTGGGAGTAGTCCCAACTTTCTAAAACAGTCATCAAGTCCCCAGAAATACCACAAGCCCCCAACTCCCCATCAGACCTCCCAGCAGTTTCCCCCTGTTCCTGGAAAATGGAAATGGGGAAGACGGGGCTACAGTCTGCCTTAGGCCTCCTGGAGGCAACGGCTGGTCGACTCCAGCATGCTTTGGGGAGACAAAGTCCATCCTCTTGCCACTCTAACAGGCTGAATGATCTGGCAGGTTGCATGGAAAGGGGAGGTGTGACAGAAGGTCTCCAGCTATGAGCCAACAGAGGCACAAGAAAGTTTAAGCTGGAGGTGACCGGGTGAAACCAAGGCAGCTCTTAGCTCATTTGGGGAGTTCTGGAGAGGCATCTTCCAAGTTCATCAGGGACTAACTAGGACTTTCAGCCTCCCTCCACCAAGGAGAGACACTTAGCCAGAAATTAGAGAAAAAGAAAAGGGAAGGTGAAGCTGGAGTGCCCTGTCACTTGGTTGCTGCTGATACTCACCTGGGGAGTTTTGAGTCCTGTCCAGGAGTAGTTTTGGCCAGAGATTGACAGTTCCCCATCAGGTCAGCCCCAGGCACACTCATTCACAGTATCCTTCCAGAAAGGAAAAATAGAATTCTTAGGAAAGCAAAGGTGAGGCATTATCAGATTTAGCCATGCAGGAGAGGTTGGCTGTGGGCTCTCTCAAAGGGTGCAGGAATCCATGGTCATGGACTCTTGATTGTCACCCCCATGGCCCTCACTCCCTGTTTGTTTCAGAAAAGAGCATAAGCATTCAGAAGAAGTGGGAGTCTCAGCTCTTACCTGGAGGATGTAGGAGTGGCTAGTTCAGGCAAGAGGCTGATTCCTCGCACTCCTCCTAGCTTTTGGCACCAGCTGTTAGGAAAGAGGTGCATAATGGAGCAAACAGGGTACAGGCTCACCATCCAAAATGAACATTATTAAGAGAAATGCGGCGTTGCAGATGCAGTAAGCACATGGGAGCAACTTGGTCCTTCAGCAGGCTGTGTCTTATATAGCTCAGGGGCTTGAGTTTTCCAAAGGGTGAGGAGTGGAACAAGAGGAAGTAGCTTTGCAAGCTCAGTGGGTATTCCTCTCTGAGAGCCAGGAATGCAGAGGGTGGGGTGGGGAACAATACAAGGCATAGGTTAGGCTGGTTTTTGAAAGATAGGCAAAATCCCTGCAGGCACGCATTGGCTGAGGCTTATATCCTTGTCCTGTCACCAACACTATTCATTATCCTGTTGTACCCAAGCAAGGTAATACACAGAAGCACCATGTACTGGTAAAATTTGGAAGTCCTTTGTTGCCAGTAGTGGAGAGTGGGCACATCCCCCAAAGTGTCTCGACCCAGAACTGTAGAACATTGGGGTTGATAAAGGCAAAGATCACAAAATCAGAAGGAGTTTAAAGGGACAGAGCTAATGCAGAACTACCCCAGGGATGAAAAACTACTAATCACTAACTTTACAAACCTCTCTCGTTGTACCAGGTGAAACTCACATTTTTCCTAGTCATGCTTGACCAGCCTAGCCAGGGGTTTGAGCATTCTTGCCAAGCAAGATGCTGTTTTCTCGGCCAGGCTATAGTCTCAGGACTTCACCTCACCTAACATAGAGCCCAGCTCATCACAGAATCCCTTTATGCCAGGCGTGTTATTTTCAATTCCAGCGTCTTACTAATGTGCGCTCTGGGAACCAGGAAGTGAGAGTTCAAGTAATTGAATCTATACCTCCTATGTGAGACCAAGAATGGAGTTCCAGGCTCTCAGCTTGAACCTGGCCTAGCCTCAGCTGTTGCAAGCATTTGGGAAATGAATCAGAGGGCGAGAGATCTTATTCCATTTATGTATCATCTATCTATCTACTCTGTCTAGATTACTCTTAACTTTCAAATAAAAAAATACAATTCACTTAAGAGATCGGAATTGCAAAATGCTGCATAACTGTGAAGAAAATCACTCAAGCTTTCTCATTTCAACTTAAAATCTAGGGGAACTGAAGCCCAAAGAAATTTTTCTACACCTAGGGACAAAACAGGGAACATTAAGTGGTCCTCTTACTGGGCATGAGTATCTCGCCTTTGTATCTACATTCTTTGAATATTTGAAATGGTACAGAGGAGAGGAAAGTGTAGAAATATCTTGATAAATCTTTAATGAGAAACAGGGTAGTTAACAAACCCAAACAAAGCCTCCCCACAAGGCAGGGAACTTCTGTGGTCTACTGAGAGAGCAGAAATATGAACCAGTGCTAGAGCCAGACTTGACCTCAAGAGAGCACTCAGTTCAATCTCTCCTCTCCCCATTACTTCACAGAATGGGCAAAAGATAAAGGGTTGTTGAGACCATCCTAACCATCATACAAATCAGCAGTAATGTTAGGAGGAGAAGCAAGAGATCGTTTTCCAGTAAGACTTTCTTGATCTCACTTAAGATGTAAAGGAGTTTTTTTTCATTTGTGTCTCCAATACAATCTACTTTGTTTTCCTTTGAGTGATTAATGTTTTCTGCAAGGTCATGGAACCTTTTGGGTGATTAGATTTATTTTTCACATGGTCACATTACCTCAAGAAATGTATAATAGGTAAATTTTTTACATCCCTTCTCATTCTCTCCATTCTTTTCTGTCTCTCACTTTTTTCAGACACCTCTCTCTCTTCCATAGGTACATAAGCCTGGAAGCTAAAGAAAAAGAAAAAGATGGCAGACCTAAATTATAAAAACACAATTTATGGTTTTCTTTAATATTTCAAAATGTGGACTAACGCTTGAAAAACACAAGTTTTCAGTGTACTGGCTCTAGAAAAAAAGATGTTTTTCTTTCTAAATGATATAATAACATTTAGGTAAAATTTAAATTTTATTACTTCTTGGTCCTCACTGACACAGCCACCCCTCTGACTTCAAGTTCAAAATAATCTCTGGTACTTATGATTGAATGCTATTGTAATTGGTGCTAGTTTAATTTGAGCCCATAGGCCAAAGTTAGCTAATAACATATTTCCCAACAATTATTTACATATTTATAAAGGCTTCTTTAAGCAAATTTACAAAATTGAAACATGTCTAAATTAATCTTTCCAATCCCTTATACATAGATTGAATTGGTTCATTTTATTCTTGATGCCAATGATAGTAATGATATATATATATTTCCTCAGACATGTAAAGGAAGGGAGAAAAAATGCAATAGTCCAATGTAGCAAAAAATTCCCTCCAATAAAAAGGAAGCAAAACATTATCAATAGTGCCAAAGCATTTACTCAGTTTTTAAATTATTACAAAATGCCACAAAAAGTGAGCAAACACAGTGAAATGATAGAAAAATCAGACATTAACAATTAACCGGGTAAATCTAAGCAGGCATGTATGGAAAATGGAGAAACCTATAAGCATTTCCTATACATGTCATTTCATTTAATCCCATTCTAGGAAAGCTATCCCAGACTTGGAAATGGAGACAAAACACCTGTGACTCAGGCCATCACTTTATCAAGCCTAATCAAAGGTTCACTGACTCCTGGGAAATGTATTTTATTCTACTACCAAATCAATAGGGATCAGATGAAGAACACTACAGAGTTGATTTATAAAAAACTGATCAAACTTGATGACTTTCATCTTCTTAAAAAGTATTACCTTGAAGGTAAATTTCTATTTCCTTATATTCACTACCAGTCTTATATCTTTTTTAGAAATCTTGTTTAATCAAAGCCTTTCCCATTAAATTCTTTTCACATCACTATCATTCTGATGATGAGTGGACTGGAATCTAGCTCATCTATTCATATGAAACTATGTGGTCAATATGTGGACAATACATCCTTTACAGAGAGAGAGAAACTAAGCCTCAGAAAAAGCCTCTACCTGCCCAAGGCTATGAGACACACATGACAGAGCTGGGGTCTAAACACAACTCTACCTCACTTTTTGTTTACAGGAAACATCCTTGTGACTTAGATGTAGACTGAACTTTTGGATTCACACATCTCCAAAATACCAACCTCCTCTACAGAAGTCTAAATATTTAACATCAAGAGCTGGGGTTCCAAAAGTAGCTAACACTAAAAGCCCCAATCTTGAATATTTAAATAGTTATCAAACAGACTGTTTAAACATTTTTAATTTTAGAACTGAAATCAAACAAATTAATAAAGTACTCTTCCTACTGACTGTATGAAACACTATCATTCATGTGTGACATTCCACCGCTTGGAAGGCTCCATTAATGGTTCTAGGCAATATTTAGCAAATTCCCACTGAGGATGTTACAAAAGTTACAGAAAGCATTAAGAATACTCACCAGAAAGCCTCTCCCTGATGTTTTATGGACATATCCCTACAGGACATTGGGTGAGAATTTCTGAAATAAACTTGATCAAATTAGCAACTGACCTTCCTGTAAAGATAGTCTACTTTATCTGTAGACTAGTAAAAATAAATAAATGAGCACGAGGAATAGCAATACACTTTTCTAATCTGGCATGAAAGTGATTTTTGTCCTGACTGACCAAACTAGTAGCCATCTGGACTACAGCATCACATGTCACTTAGTCCACAAGCACCACAGTAAAGACTTGACATCTTGAAAGTCTTGGGGGAACGGCTCCCGTAATGTAGACAGGCTCATCTGTTGACAGGCCTGCTTTTAAGTTCAGTTATGTGAGTGTACCTTTGGAATACACATCTTTATCCATTTGAAGATTTATTCACTGTGTATGCAGATTTGTAGCTTTTTCTTCATAAGGTTCTCAAGGTCAGATCAGTTGGTCCATAGGTTGATTCTTGTTTTATCTGATTTTACTGTGAAGACTTTGGCCACCGCATCACAATGAGGCAGTGACCGTCTGGCCTGGTTTCCTGGAGATCACACTGCTATTTGGCAGGCAACGGTCACTGTCTGCCACAGATTTAAATGAGGCAATCTGCCCTGTCCCTAGCCCCTGATCCCTAACTCTGGATTAGCTGAACTTCAGCTCCAGCTGAAGTGAAAAGATAATTATGTGATTCCAATTCACCCTGACTCACAGCTTCACTGTTTAAACCTACTTAGGGTGTCTGTGGTTTTCTTACATAAATTTTCAATCCTGTTGTTGTTATTATAAAGTGTCTTTTCCAGTCCTGATGGTGGGGGTGTACCTTTCACTCGCATATTTCTTCCAGATGTGATAAGCTCACCATAGCCTTCTTGGTGAGCAAAAGCATATCCAGATCTTCTTGAGCTTGACCTTCGGGTGTGTAATCTTCTGCTGCTCCTGGGCCGTGCCTTCTTCTCAGTCCTCTGCCACTGGCGAAGCTAGAAAGAACAGAGCAGGTAAGATGAGGTATCCAAATGATAGACTCCAGGAACTGAGCAACTCTATCACATGAAAGCAATAACATTCACCTTCATGGCAAAAAGAAGTTTTAAAACCAAACCCAGGAGACCAGTGAATGCTCCAGGATCCTATATGGGTGCTGGTTTGTATCCCGGAGGCCCCGCTTCCCAGCCAACTCCCTGCTTGTAGCCTGGGAAAGGAGTTGAGGATCGCCCAAAGCCCTGGGACCATGCATCCATGTGGGAAACCTGGAGGAAGTTCCTGGGCTCCTGGCTTCAGATCGGCGCAGCACCTGCCGTTGCAGTCACTTGGGGAGTGAATCATCGGACGGAAGATCTTCCTTTCTGTCTCTCCTCCTCTCTATATATTTGACTGTCCAATTAAAATAAGATAAATCCTTAAAAAAAAAAAAAAAAACCTAAACCCAAGAAAGTTTCCATCCAGAAGATCAGATTACACTGGTCAGTTTTAATGTCTTCTAAGAAGCTACTAAGTGAACAATAATAAACCAATTTCATTATCAAATCATTTATACATCTTGATACAGAAGCATACTTGAGTGTAGTTAGGTTTTATAGCCTTTTCTAAACTTTGAGATGATAATAATTTTGGGTCCCATTGATCCTCCTGACAGGCCCCCACACTCTTTAGAGGTTCTCTGGATCCACGGTTTTTCAGTTAGTGGACCAGAAGAAAATACAGCAGAGTCCAAAATGTTCAGCTCATGTAGATAACAGAACATGAGACGGAGGGTTTGAGTTTTTCTGCTATTTATTTGCTTGTTTTGTAACTATGGGAAGGATTCAGTGTCACTTGGATGGGGTTTCTACACGAGTTATTTCCTAGTCAGGTTGAAGAGAAAAGACCTGACTGAGGTTTGTTGCAAGCAACTGTATTCCGTAATGTGGCATATGACTTGCATTCTGGTGATTGCATTAGGAAAAAGCTGCTAAGCAGAAATTGCAGTCAGATTTAGGATAGGAAACATGAGTATCATCTTCCTTTCTTCAGCTCATCCTACATTTTCTGGGCATATGTCAAAGCCAACAAGAAAGGAAAAGCAAGACCAGGGCCTCTTTTTTTAAAAATTGGAAAGTCAGACATAAAGAGAGGAAGATCTTCGGTTCATTGATTCACTCCCCAAGCAGCTGCAATGGCTGAAGCTGTGCCAATCTGAAGCCAGGGTCTCCCATGTGGGTGCAGGGTTGCAAGGCTTTGGGCCGTCTTTGACTGCTTTCCCAGGCCACAAGCAGGGAGCTGAATGGGAAGTGGTGCCACCAGGATACAAACTGGTGCCCATAAGGGATCCCAGTGTGCAAGGTTAAGGAATTTAGCCGCTAGGTTATCCTGGCTGTTCACTTCTGATACAGCTCCCTGCTTATGGCCTGGGAAAGAAGCAGAGAATGACAGAAGTCCGTGGGAGACCCAGAGGAGGCTCTTGGATCCTGGCTTCAGATCAACTCAGCTCCAGCTATTGCAGCCATATGGGGAGTTAGCCAGCAGATGAAAGATCTTTCTGTCTCTCCTTCTCTGTAAATATGCCTTTCAAATAAAAATTTCTTAAAAATGTCATTTGAAAGACACATTTAGAATTTTCAGTCCACGGATTCATTCCCCAAATTGCTGTGATGACTGGGTTCTGGGTCAAAGCCAGGGGACTATGAACTCCCTCTGTTCTTCTACATGGGATACAGGGTTCCAAGCACTTTGAACATTTTTCACTGCCTCCTCAGGCACATAGATAGGGAGTTAGATTGAAGGTGGATTAGTCAAAGATGAGCCAGTGCTCATGATAAATCACAAGAAGTGGCTTTGCTGGCTGTGCCACAGTGCCAGCCTCTTGTCCCCAATTCCCTTTTAACATAGATTCAGAAACATGAGGATATCTCACCTTCTGATTATATCATTCTATAAAATTTACAGTTCCTTTTGTGCATACCTTGTTTCTCCTTTAAGTTGCCCTCAAGCCAAGAATTTTCCCCATAGCTTGCCTTACTGATCAAACAACTGTCAGATTAAAAATGAACTGCTTTTTAAAAATCAGCTTTTAAACATACTCAAAGGGTCTTGCAAGCCTACATTTGATTTACATGCTTTTCTTCACTGACACACAAAATCAGGACATTCAGGATATGGCAGTCCCATCCACTCTGTCAAGGCATGTACCTACAGGCAATTACTCTTGGGAACTTCATTAATCCTTCCAAAAACTTCTCATCAGGAAGAAACAGACAACATTCTAAGAACCATGAACCAGGCTCCAAGCACACACATCAGCATTGCAACCTACCTGGTCACTCAGGGTTGGATATAAATTCACCTTCAAGAATCGGAAAATCACCACTGGCAGAACTGAAGCCACTGTTGTTAAGATAATAACAAGCCAGATGCACTTCTGGGTCAAGGAATGCCTTGCATTTCCTGTCATTAAAGAGAAATGTACAATGAGGTTATAGAGAACTTAATGACTCATGGTTATAATCTCTTGTAAGGGATTACTTTTTTTACCACCTAGATAGAACCAATGAGTGCTCCTCCACCTCAAGTGTATAGTATATTCACAGGTGATAGGAGAAGAAACTGGTAAGATCATTCTTAGAAACTGTTTCGAGTTATCACAGCAAGCCAAGCATTCTGTGATCCAGGCTCAGTCCAGCTTCACTCAGGAAGCACAATTCTTTTATCCATACTCATGATTTCTTTGCTATAAGACAGCCATAATTTTTTTAAAGCCACATTTGCCTTCATGGACACTTGAATAGAAACTATCATGTGTGGCTAAACAATAAATATTTTGAATGCAGGGTAAATCTCAAAAAATGATCTTGTTGACTGGTTATGTCAACCTTTTGTGAAAGGTGAGCTTTATCTATTGCAGGACCAAACTTTTAAATTCCAGGCAATGGTCCCAGAAAACCTGCCTCAAAGGGATATTCTTTCTCTTTGATGTTCACTTGGTTCTGAGGTACTCAGGATTCCTACAAGAACAGAGAGGCAATATTAAATAGAGCATCTCCCTTTCGGGGCCCTCAGGGTTACTGCTGATGTAGCCATCCAACATAACAGGACAACAGGACAATGAAACTCCTTTCCAAGCCTGAAACCAGTTTGCTTACTTTAAATTCCCATCTCACATACTTTGATGTTTCTTTTAAAAAGGCTGTAAGGAACATAAGACAGACAGATGCATTCCATGGGAAGATGCCAACCTTCTTCTATCACCAAAATAAATCTTTTGTCCCTGTTCATTCTCTAGGGATTTATCATGATACCCCCAATTACTTAGGTCCTCTTTCTCCGTCCTCATGTGTTAACACCATTCAGATGGGCTTTGCTTATGAGGGGTTGGCTGGTTATTGTTATGTCTGCTTTTACTGGCACTGCAGAGTAAAATCTGCCTACTAAAGAGCAACAGATTCCAGTTGTCTTCAGCCATGGGCAGAAACAAATTTGACTCAAAAAATTAAATGCTCTTTGAGCTCCTTGAAGCTCTGTGCCTCCAGGCATGGCTGGAAAACAAGCTTCACTATAAACCACACTCTTGTTTGCTGCAAGCTACTAAGGAAAGAACTTTTTCCTTAAACCTCAATGTTGATCTAAAGTTTGAAGTGTCTTATTGGAGCTTAGTAATTAATTCCTGGAAAAATATGTGCTTAGCTAAAGAGAATGGTCTCTCCACAAACTACTTTCTACTGTGGAGTCACTCTAGTCTGATTATGCATGTTAGAATGCATTCTGAAGACTTCGAAGTCAATCCAAGGAACTTTAATTTACGAACCAAACAAAAATAGTTTCATGATCTGATTCAAAATCCAACATGATTAGAATCTTTGGTAAAGAAAGTATTAAAGTTTTCTCCATATATGTAGGAAAAGGCAAAAGTTGAACAATATTCTTAAGTGCACTGTGAATTCGAATGGAGTTAGGATCTTGGGTGCCTTGGCTAACAATGGAAATGTTTAACCTTATCATTGGTTTGATTTTTTTCCTCCATGAATCCTTCTTCTAAGAATCACTTTCCTAGATTGAATTACCAACTCAATATAATTATAAATCAGTCTTATTCCATTCAGCTCAAGTAGACTGCCACTGTCACTCCTTGCCTTTTTTGTGGAGAGGAGCTCACAAAATTACTTTTATGAACTTACCTCACACACATTAGAGATTTCAAAATTTCTGGGAAAATATAATAGCACTCTTGTGTAAATCTGACTAGGCATGACTGGAAATCATTTTGAAATGTACAGTGAAATAGTAGCCTACTCTGTATGCTGACCAGATGTATACTCTTTATATAGTAAGAAAATTTCCTAAAATCTTTCTAAACATAAATTCTATGTTACCTATATGATATTCACATTGCTCTGCAAAGTCTCCAGCCAATAAGCAAGCCACATTTGCTTGAACAGTAACAATCACTATCATTGCAATTAACATTTACAGAAAGCATATGTATCACAATATATTTTAATATTTTATGTGGCTATATCACTTAATACAAGTTTTCCACAAAAATAGACTAATATCTTCAGTTCCTAATTGAAGAGCCTAAGGCTTGAAAAAGAGAATAAATTTCCCAAGATTACACAGCTTATTAACTTGTGGAGTTGGACTTGAACCCTGGTTCTCTGCCCATCATTGCCTACTCTTGATATCATTTATGAGTTAATGTCCAGCCATTATTAGAACACCTTAAATTATATGTTATTCTTTCCTTTTCTAACTACAAATTATACGGGTCAACGTTAGCAGAGAAACTGGTGAGAATGTGGCCAAAAAAGGAGTGTCTAGCATTTTTTTCTTTTCACTATCACAATATGAAAATTTGACAGGACTTCTAGAAACCCCAGTGTATATACTCTTTTTTGTAGAGAGCTTATAGCATCTGAGATGTTTGGAACTTGTAAGCTACTATCAAAATTATTCTTTTGCACATGGTAGAGAGAACATCAACTCATCTTTTAGGACACCTTGTACCTCCAGCTAGATCAGTCATTTCCTAGAGAAAGATCACTCATCATGTCCAGCTCCATCCAATACACACAGAAATAAGTTATTTAGAAAAGTGTCAGCACAACACCAGGCCCATTAGACCATAGGACTCACCAACAAATGGAAATTGATTTGGGAAGATGCCAAACATGCCATAACTGTGTGTTGTAAATAAAATGGCGAAATAAGTTGCAATGCTGCCCCAGATGAAGACATGATTAATGACAGTCCAGTAACTGGTGTCCAAGGCTATCTGCAAATAAAATAAAGTGTAAGGAGGAGGTCTGTAAACATTTGAAGAACATCATTCCTGTACTGTGACAGGAAATTTGTACCTATTTAGGTATTAGGCGGATGACAGGTATCATCACTTTCTACACAAACACAGGGTCTGATTTAACTCAGTATTTCTGATACAGTTGATTTTAGAGCCTTTATCTACAAACCAGTACATCTGCCAGTTTGGGTTAGTATCCGAAAAAGAATGTCAGATTCCTTTTAAGTGAGAAAAAAGCAAAATGGATTATAAATTTGAAGTTACTTTCCAAATTACTTTTTCCTTCTAGAGGAAAAATCACCTCTATAGCATGCACCTGTGAGATTTATATTATACCCATGAATTTCAATGACTGTCTTTACACATGTATGTTGTTTAACATCAAACTCATTTTGATGATCCTTTCTCTTAAACTGATCAAATAGTAAGAAAAATTCTTAATCCTCTATTTGACCTAACTTCAGAAACCTTAATTCATAGTGACCTGGAAGCATGCTCACAGACCCTTCTCCTGCCCATTAACTGTGGCAGCTCAGTGTGCCTGATGTTAGAGTCAAGGAACCCTCTTGAGTTCTCCAGAGGGTCAAACATGGTCTCCAGTCATTGTTGTATCTCAGAGATCTCATGTGAAACTTAAGTGAGCGCCTACATTTCTACTAGAGTCTACGCAAGATCACAAGTTTCTTATCTGCTTCAAAGGGGCCAACTTATCCTGCAAATAGATCCTCTCAACACGTGTGGATACACTTCCCCTTCTTGGCTTACTGTTCCTTAAACTGTGCTTGCAGCCTGGGTTATGACCTACAGGGGACAGAAAACGGATAAGCACTTTTCCTCTTTAAGCGATTAGTCTTGTCATCTGTGCTTTGGCAAAGAGGTTCTGGTTTTCTGTTCATTTGGCTACCAAGACATCAGGCAAAAGTTTATTGTTCTACCTTCTATCACTTGTCAGTTCATCCCCATCAAGAGGTAATCAGAATCTGACCTGTGTTGGTAAGAGTAGGCAAAGAGAAATTACAATTCATTTAAAACAACTCAGCTAAAAAATCAAGAACAGGTGACTCCTATTGAAGCAGAACTAATAGAAGAGACAGACAAGTATTACAAGCAAAAAAAAAATGTAATAGGATCTCTTAAGGATATGCAATTAGATCACAGAAAAACTAAAATAAAAAACACTATTTTTGAATTTTAAATTTAATAAAGAAACCAAATAAGAAAAATCACTGATGAGAACTGAATTAATGTTCTGGAATAAACAAATGGAAATAATATCTCAACAGAGAACCAAAACTTGATGAAATAGAAACCATGTGCAGAAAGATATAAAACATAAGTGGCAAATCATTGACATGAGATTGATGAACCAAATATTTGATTATTATTTTTCTCTTTCTAAAATGCCATTAAAGAAGTAACAATGAGCTAAGAAAACTGCTCTGTGATTTTCAGATCGAAGAGTCTTTCCTTTCCCCCCACCCCTGCAAGCTAATGAAGAGGAATACATTCTGATGAAATTTGTACAATATAAGGATAAAGAGTATATGCTTCTAAATAGAGGAAAGTGAATCAAAAGAACATAAAACTTCCGTGGTGAAAAGGCTCTATCTCAAAAATTTTGTGCCCTTCCAATACATCATTTAAATATAAAACTGGAAAGCTCTGAGCTCAAAAGTATAACAATCTAAAAGCATTTCTGAACAAATTACTCAATGATATTACTACAAACAAAAAGTAAATTATAACAAAAACCTCAAAATAGCAAAACACAAAGCACTCAAGTGGTAGTCAGAAATGATTCTTATGAATTTATACTTAGCTCTAAATGAGTAACAACATGACTACGACCTGCCAGTATTAATTCTGAAAGAATTTGGAAACAGTAAAGATGCATGTTAAAAGAGCATTTAATAACAGCCTGACACTAACAGTCTAAATTATTCACACTCACAGGAGTTGAGGATGGGAAAGGGGATGGGGAGGACAAGGAAACAATTTACAAAATTAATTGGAGGTGGGCGGAGAAGAGTCAAGAACAGGATGTTTGAATGAAAATTTATCATTATGGAATTTTAGCATAGAAATGTAGATTTAAAATACCATATTATGAGAAATCATTAGTAATATGAATAAAACAACTTATTCATAAGTTAACTTTAAAACATCCTATTATCTATAAAAATGCAAAGTAGGACAGAAGTATTCAAAGTAATTCTAAATAGGCCAGGCACTTCACATCTCAAGTGAATGCAATGCTGTTTGGAATGGGTGCTACTTTGGATGCTCCCACCCCATTTTGGGGTACCTCAGTCAACTCCCAGCCCTACTCCCGAGTCCAGATTCCTAGTAACACATGATGACTTCAGTTGGGTCTGCTGTGCACATGGAAGACTCAAGCTGAGCTCCTCAGGGTTTGCATGTGTCGTACATCTGGGAGTGACCCAGTGTTGAGGAGCGCTCTACCTCTGCTGCTGTCACTCTCTTTCTAAAAAGTAAAATTTGGAATTAAATATATAGTATAAAAAATGAATACTTTAAATTCTCTTATTGAAAGAACAAAGCCAGTGGAATAAAACAAATAAATGGACATGAAGGGATTGGCTTAGGCTATAAATTAGGCGAAGGCAACCTGAGAAAAATGAGAGACATGACTAATATTAATAAAAGCAATTTAGATGAAGTGGCTTTTCTTATGAAAAAGGATACAAGCTACAAAGAAAAGATGAATGAGGAACCTGTAGGTACCAAATAATAACAGCTGCAATGTGAGCTACAATTTCTTGGAAATGCAGAAAGTTCGTACGAATCATCACTATGACCACCTTTCAATACAATGCTCTCAGAATTTGACCAGAGTGACAGAAAGGTAAGGGTTCTCCTAGAGGTCTGTGGCTGTCATCAGTCTGGCAAGCAGTCCCCAGTGTGATCAAGCTAATCTAGAAGAGATGGTAACCACAAAGTTTTCAAGCAGCAACACAGTCATGATGTGGGGTGTTGCTCCCAGGGGCATTTGATCCAGTTGAGGCTCTCCCTAGTGCACGTCTCATCTTTGGACCTACATAAGAGTTTCCAATAAAAAAAAAAAAAACTCTTTTGCTTAAAGAGATGCTTAAAGAAGCATCTACTATTTGCTACTACAGCCTTTTTTGGAAAATATTGAAGAAGAAATTAATGAAAATCTATATTGTACGTATTCTTTGATCCAGCATTGAAGAAATAAAACACCTCCAATGTTAAAACTGGTAAAAAAAAAAAAAAAGTTTTAGAGCTAGCACTTGAGTGCAGTGGGTTAAGCCACTGCTGTGACACTGGCATCCCACAGCAGCACCTAGCTATTCCACTTTTGATCCAGAACCCTGCTGGGAGAAAAGCAGAAGCCCCAAGACAGTCTTCCTGTCTTTCCTTTGCTCTGTAACTCTTTCAAATAAATAAATAGTAAGAGTTGGAAGTTCTAAACGTATAAATCTCATTTCTGGAAATTCACATAACCCTGAACATAAAATAGACATAATAATGTATGCATTATAACATTGCTTCAATAACAGAAAGCATAGGAATATACTGAATGTCTAGGAGAACTAATGAATACTCTCTGCAGCTATTATAAAAGATTTAAGATGTGAATTTGGTGTTTTAGAAAACTGTCCAAAATATCTAGCTAAGTGAGGAAACCATACCAGAGTAATTTACATAATTAAGATCCTCTTATTGAATTTGTGTGTAAGCAAACAAAATATATGGAAGGATTTAAGCTGTCATTTTTACGGTAAAAAGGGAAGGAGGTTAAAATGATATATTTTATTAACATTCCTGTGTTGTTCAAAATGTTAAAAGTATTTTATAATTCAAAGAAATATAGGAACTGATATTTAAAACAAATAAAACTACCCAAGTTTGGCCTGCAGCATCAGCAGGACCTAAGATTTATAACTATATTAATAGTCCATGGAAATTTCATGGAGGTTGTTGCCACAATGATGAGTCAAGATTAGACAGTGAGGAAAGGACAGTAATGCTGCTATCAAAATGAGTTGATTCACAAATTCCTGAAAGTTAGGATTTCCTGTTTTAAAGACAAAAAGTTTTTGATTGAAGCCAGAATTGCCGGGCTTCAATGATCACAACCCCTCTGCATGCTGAGGTCTGAGAATTCTATGGCACCAAAACATCCTCAGAACTTCCTGGATGTAACATCACTCCTAACCTTCCTCAGGGAGTAGGACTATAAACGACCTTTAGGACTGGGTAGCTGCACATCTGCACTCCTATTTGGGGAGTGAATCAGTAGGTGGACTATCTCTTTACCTCTCCTTCTTTCTCCATAACTCTGCCTTTCAAGTCAGTCAGTCTTAAAATAAAATTATGCTTGCTATGATTTTAACCTATACTCGTAAATTCTTTGATATTGTTCCTCTATAAGCTGGAGACTAATTCTCCACCTTGAATGTGTCGTGGAATTCTTAGGGACACAAGAAAGACTAAAGAAAAACATGATTACAAAGAGGAAACCCAGAAACCAAGATCATAACCAAGGTAAATATCGCTTGTAGTAAATCATGGTGACATCTTATAAGGAGGGCACATCGCCTCTGTGATTCTTCATAAAATTCCACAGCCTCAGTCTGGTTCTAAGAAAACTTCAGACAGGCCAAAACAAAGGAATATTCTGTAAAACATCTCACCAGAGTGTCAGATCACTCTTCCCGAGTGTAAATATCATGAAAGATGAGGAATGGCTATAAGGGGATCAGAGACTGGAAGAGACAAGATGAAACTGTTAACTGCAATGTAGCACCCTGGATTAGATCCTTGAACAGAAAACATATTGGGAAAAGTAGAAAATCTGAGTCAAGGCTGAAGTTCAGTTGATAGTCTTGTACTAATGTTACTATCTTAATCTTGACAAATTCACTGTGGGTTTGTAAGATGTTAATCTCAGAAAACCTAGATCAGAGCATACTGCACAGGAACCGGGGCAAACACTGAGGCACAGTGGGCGAAGCTTTTGCTTGCAGTTCCAGCATCCCATATCAAAATACCAATTCAAGCCATAGCTGTGCTATTTTTGATCCAGCTCCCTGAAAACACACCTGGGGAAGCAGGAGAAGATACCTCAAGAACTTGGGGCTCCTGCCACCTATGAGAGACCAGGATAGAGTTTCTGGCTCCAGACTTCAGCATGGCACAGACTTGGCTGTAATAAGCTTTTTGGAGAATGAATCAGTCTATGTGTAAGATCTCTGTTTCTCTGTCTCTAATGCTCATTCAAGTAAAATGATACAAAACACTTTTAAACAAAAAGTGTACAGGAACTTCCTTTGTAGTATTTACAATTCTTGTATAAATTTAAAAATACAAAGTTTTGGGCCTGGGGTGATAGCCTAGCAGTTAAAGTGCTCACCTAGCATGCACATAGATCCTACATGGCACAGGTTCTAAACCCAGCAGCACCGCTTCCCATTCAGCTCCCTGCTTGTGACCTTGGAAGGCAGTTGAGGACAGCCCAAACTGTTGGGACCTGCACCTGTGCGGAAGACCTAGAACAGGCTCCAGGCTCCAGGTTCCTGGCTTCAGTTTGGCTCAGCTCCAGCAGTTGTTGGCTGCTTGGGGATTGAATCAGTGGATGGAAGATATTCCTCTCTGTCTCTCCTGCTCTGTGTATATCTCACTATCCAATAAAAATAAATGTGTAGGGTGGGGCTTTTCCCTTTGTTACTCCCCTAACCCCAGATACAGGGCAAAATGATTATATTAGTGTGGAAACAATGATATTACCCACTTTTACCCTGTAGCCCTTGACCCTTTGTACCCTAATAAACTAAGATTATTAAAAAATAAATAAATAAATGTGTACAAAGAAAGTTTTAAATTTTTCTTGTAAAAGTTGATTTTGTTATTTGAGAAAAAAAAAGTGAGCAAGCAAGAGAGCTTTCATTTGCCGCTTTGTACAAATGCCTGCCATAGCTGCAGCTGATACAAAGTCGGAAGCCTGGAACTCCATCCTAGTCTCTCACAGGGGTGACTGGGGTGCTGGTATGTGAACCATCATCTCCTACCCATCAGGATTGGAGGCAAAGTTTCATCCCAGGCACACCAATGTGGGATACAACCAACCTAAGCAACCCCTTAACCCACTGTGCCCCAGTATTTTGACCTAAAATATTTCTCTGTAAATAGTAAACAGTATATTCAGTATGCATCAGTGACTTCACAGGCAGCAAATTGGCCAAGAATTTCTACTTTTAAGAATATATTCTGAAGAAATAACTTGAGAATCATATTGTAAACTATGTATGTGAAGGTTTGCTCTTGAATTATTTGCTGTGGTGAAAATGTAGAAGCATTTATTCAGCCACATGGTTAAATAAATTGTAGAATATTCATATGAAGGAATACTACAGTCACTAATAAGAATATTTCAGAGTGGGTGTTTTGCTAAAACATTGGAAGGATGTGCTAAGCAGAAAAGAGTAAAGCCATAAGGCAGAAAGGATAGTGGGGAACCCCAGGAGCCAAGAGATTGAATAAGGTCAGAACATTGTGAAAAGCAAGGTTGGAGGAGTGGGCAGAACCACCATTGTCTCAAAGAGATGAAGGAAGAAAATGGTTGTTAAAGAGACAAATGCCCAATAACACTTGCATCAAATAGGTCTGAATGGCCTCACTCAATGCACATTGAATGGGAGGGCAAGTGGTCACTGTGAATTCTAACTAGGAACCCCCTGAGAAGCATGGATATCTAAAAACTGCATAATCAAGACTAAAAATTTTTCAAAACTCATAATGACAAGGATACAAAATTCCTTAGTCTTTTTGTGAACAAACCATATTTTTAAATGAGATTGTTTCTATGTCTTCTAATGTGTAAAAATGAGACATGAACTATGACATCCAACTGAAGAAAGAACTGTTTATAAGAAAAACAGCTCTAAAGTGTAAAGTTCATATCAAAACACAACTCTAATGCAGCTGTCATATATGATGATCAATTATGAGCAAGCAAAAAGGAAAAAATTACAGAAATATAATAAGGCTTTTTAAAAATAAAGACAAATTTGTAGGGCTTCTTGTAGTGGCAAATTTCACTAACAACATAATGCTTGTCACATTATGCCTACAGACAATCTTCCACGTCATTTATTATCCTGTTATATTTTGTATGATGCCAAAGACAATCTGAGGAGTTTTTCACAATGGAGTTTTCCTCCAAATTCTCTTAGAGCATCAAGTAATGGGCTTTACATGGGGATAAAGAAATAGGTACCACTAAGAAAAAAACAAAAAACAAAAAAAACTGCCTTCCTCTCTGTTGAGGGCCCATCCAGAGAGTTGGAAACACAGCCACATGACAGAAGTGAGGTCACTAGATTTTTCACTGTTCATTCAGTTATTAAAGGCAACAAAATGAACACACGGTCATATTGCTTGCCATACCCTTCTAGAGCTAGATTTTAACAATATGATGAAAGTTTCTGAGAACTTTCAACTCGATACCAATATGCATTAAAGAGGAAACAAACAAATCAAGATGCCCAGTGGGAGAAGGGCAATGGAGTATCAAAAATCATCTCCATGAAAATCATTTCCCTGAATGTAAGATTGAAACTCTTCACTAATTTCACAGAATCAATGTACCACTCCTTAGATCTCACTTTAAACCTGGAAGTTATGAAGTCTTACATCAAAAGAAAGTTTCTCTTTTTCTATTTACCATTGAAATTTTTCTTCTTAATACACAAGAAAGTGGTAGTAGTATGGTTATTTCTCTTAATGCTCAACCCCCCCAAAAAAATGATTGGTTATGAGGTTTCTACTAATACAGAGATTATAAGCACATAATTTTCTGATAATTTATGTGGAACTGTTTTTCCTTAAAATGTAGTTAAAACAAAAACTCCACTATTTCTTTAGAATTATCTCACCGCCCAACAAGTACACAAAACCAGTCAACAAAGAAATGCATCTATAACAGTTGTAAACTGATCAAGTTAAAATGCTTTCATCAGTAGGGTTACCTGCACACTGACCACGATGACCAAAGATGTCGCCAGGGTAACTGCAAATGATTGGTAGTCAGCAATGTGCTGGCCTTCTTCTCCAACCATGTTGTAGAAGGCCCCATAGGGGATGAAGAATAGGACTAATGATGTGTAGATTCCATGTGCCACACAGATGAAAAATTGACGCTTATTAAAAAGGAGATTTAGTTGTCCAGGTTCATAGAGCTGGGGGCAGTCCATGCTGTTCTGATCACTCACATCCTGTAAACAGAGGGCATATTAGTGGAGAAAGGCTCAGGAGAATGAGAGGCCCCACACTGCATCGTTCCTGAATGCTACATGCCCTAATGTGCACTACTCACTGTGTCACATCAAGACATTAACTTGTTTTTGTTTTCATTCCAACACCCAGAAAACAATAAAAGGACCTGTATTTTATGGATAAAGAGCTTGGATCTCCAAGAGAGGTTCATGAATTGTCATGTAGCTCAAATCATGACTTCTTTGAACTCAGTTGTTTGGCTTCAGAGCCAAGGTTCTTTCCTATATTTTCAGGCAGACTGCTGAGGCCACTGATTGCTCAGAAGCTCTCAAGCTCCCAAAATTCAAAAGTAGACAATGGGCCCAAGTTCATGCACAAGGTGGTGAGCGGTAAGGCCCAGGAGATGGCAGCAGAGAGCTGTGGAGGCAGGTAAATTAGAGCTACTGAGCTTGGGGAGAGGTGAGCAGGAGGCAGAAGGAAGCAGCAAATAGAAGAAATTTCCTGTTGGTTACGGGGTGGTCAGAGAGCTGAGCATAAAGGCTTGGAGTGTAAGCATTCTGCCTAAGGAGGACACAATAGCAGTTAATGGGTGCTATGATTTGCCCATGGATTGAGTGTGTCATCCAAGGGTTCATGGTAATAGAAGCTTTTAGGACCAACTGCAAATTGGTCAAGAGGACACCAGCGTTGGCAGGGATGAATGCTATTGTCATAGGAATGTATTAGTTCCCTCAAGATGGTTTATTGGACCTGACCTTTCCCCAGTCTCTTCATGTCTTCCCATGTGCTCTCCTCTACCATAAGCTCTCTCATGAATTCCCACCATGATGCCATTTGCCATGTGGGTAAGCTATGCCCGTCACCAGAACTGAGCAAATGCCGACAACATGCTATTGTAATTTCAAAACTGCACCAAATAAACTCCTTTTCTTTGTACGTTGCGCAGTATCAAGCATTTAATTATAGCAACACAAAATGAACAATATCAATGGTTCAGTACCAAAAAAGATTACTCAATAAGAAGACAGCAAGTTTTAGCACAAGCCAGTTTCTGGGAGGATCTAAACCCATGCTCTCAAGCTCAGGGTACCCATGAAGTACCAAGGGAACAGCTCAGTTATTCAAGTTTATGATTTAATAGATGTAAAGGCCTGGAAGTTCTGAATTGCCAGCCAACACCAAAGCAATGCTGATAACCACATTGTGAGTACCAAAAGCAAGTGCAAGAACCAAAAAAAGACAGCAAGAAGTGGGGGCATCAGAGCATCAGAGGACTATCCACGCAAGGTGGCCAAAGTTGGAACAACCCAACTCAGGTTTCTTTTTGTTTAAGGCATGGCCTAGGTCTTGAATAGGAAACCATGAAGCTCATGGATATTTTCTGTTTAAGAACACCTTTTCTGAGATGCTGTTTTACTTCATCCCCCAGTCCAGTGACTGGTGGGATTATGTGCATGACTTTGAAACCACATCATCCTGGCTTCAAACCCTTGTAGCAGGTTTCATAGGCATGCAGTCTGAGATCTGTGACGCAAGCCATCTAGGCCCTAGTCTTCTCATCTCCAGAAATGCAAACAGAAATGCATCCCTTTAAGAACCACTGCCATGATTAAATGAGTATGTATTCAGTAGGTGTCCTTGCCACATCACAAGTAATAAATCAGACGCTTCTATAAATAATAATGATAATAATAGCAATAATGTAGCAATCTCAAAGTGGCCTGCTTCTAGTCTTGGTTCTGTCATCTATTGGCTGCATGGCTTTGGGGCAATGAAGTCCCAAAGTTTGGCTTCCTCTTTTAAAATGAGATCTGTAGATGGTCCCAGAGGCCCTTCCAGCATCACATTCCACAAGCCTGTGATCAGTGTAAGGGCCAGAGTTGACAAGTGGGAAAGGAGAGGAGCAGACATTCAACTCAATGGCAATAAGGAGCCTTATTATATTTTTTGAATTGCGCAATAACTTCCCAGAAACTGCTTTATTTTATTCCACATTCTGGGCAGCTACAAAGCACCACGAAAAGAAACACTTGTAAACATGGGCACTTGGAAATTAATGTGCTTAATCCTTTATCTCTAAGGTCTTCCGAAGTTCATTACTTCTTGTAGAATCCCACAAAATATGGCTTTCACAAACTGCCCTTTTTAAATATGAGAAGTGAGATTTTCAACTGACAGCAAGCCAGCAGAATGGGAGAGTGAAGTGAGCTCATAAAGTGAAGATTTGTTTTGCAATCGACAGCTTTGAGCCAGAAAATGAGGCCTAGCAAATGGATCTAACAACAGCCTAAAGAAAATCTGCTCGCCTTAAAAGTACTTTACAGGAGTATTTCAAATAATACACTCTCATTGTGCCATGGAAACTCTCCTGGGCGCACTTTGCCCTCCTTTAGGAAGTGCCTTCCAAGGTTCGGGGCATGCCAAGGATCCACCATGTTTTATAATTGATTCTCTCCGTTTTCTACTCACAAGCATGTTGAAAGAAGGCTGTGCTCATTTTCTCCATCTCCCAATTGGCAGGTTGTTCCACTGTCCTGCCATTCCTATCCTCAGGTCATGCTGGCTAAGGAACCTGAACTGACATCCTCGGTGCCCCAGTCTAGCTTCATGATTGTCCCTGTCCCTGCCTGACTCTCCACAAATGATCACAGGTGGATGAAGCATTCCCCAGGCTGTGAGTACTCAAACACTTCCTCGGAAGCTCCATGAACAACTGTGTATATAGTGTCAGATATTTACAAAGTGTTGTGCTGAAACAAAATTAAAGTGACTACTTTTCCAGGTCTTCTCAGATCCTTTAGAATAATACTGAGATTTCAGAAAGCAGAGGCTAGCAGTGGCGGATCTGTGATCCATGCAATATCTATTAAAACAGCTGCTGTCCTAGGGCTCTTTCCTTGGATCATGTCTTTTTAGAAGCAAAGAAACAACTAAAAAGCATCAGAGAAAAACTAAGTTACAAAATTAAAGAAATACACCTACCTGGTCAAATATTCCCATGGCTAAAACAGGAAGAGATGTGTAGACAATGTTAAAAAGGGTGATGAACCACTGGTCATAGACAGTCTGGGAAAGAAAATGCGTATCAGTGAGAAACACCATCTACAATGATAAGAAAATTTACTTTGAGAGTCTTGGTTAAATAATCCAAAGTGAACGGGACTTAGCTTTGGAAGTCAGATATAAGTTCCTTAGGCTACATCTCCTGATTCTGTTGCCTTTGTGGGATACTAGATCCATTTAAGCCCCAATTGCCTGAGCCCAAAAGTAATGCCATATACCCCCTTCCAGTAAAAAGGCAATGAGACTTGTAGAAGGAGAATTGAGTATCTGTAAGACAGTTGATTGGATTGGATCTCTAAGTTCCTCTGGGCACAATCTATGAGTTCTGAATCTACTTCAGCTCTCCAATTTTTTCTACTCACCTATTTTTCCATCATGGGAATTCCCACTTCTATCAATACAGACAATGGACCTGCATATACTAGTAAAAATTTCAAAACATTCTGTCTGGAGTAGTCCACCTAACATGTTAGAATTATCCCCTATAACTCTCAAGGACATGCTATTATTGAACGTGCACATTGCATCCTAAAAGTCAGTTGTTAAAAGTAAAGAAAGGGGAAATGTCCCTCAGAGATATTCTATTACTTTTAATGCTTGACCTTTTGAATTTGCCTCAAGAAGATATTAATACTCCTGCTGACAAACCTTTTTCTACATCTACATCCTCTAATAAGGCCTTATAAATCCCTGTCTGGGTAAAAACACCTGGATAATTGGTATTCCGGAATACTAATAACCTGTGGTAAAGGTCATGCTCTTGTCTCCTTATAATTCCTGCTGGATCCTCTGTAAAACAATAGGCTGCCCTATGATTCATCCACCCTTGGAACTGTAGCAGCTCCCTCGAATACTACCCTGCCCCTGGAGAAAATGGAATCCTCAATGGAACTTCCTCAAAGAGTGGAAGAACTTGGACACTCTTGATCCACAACAGACTGAATATTTTCCCGAGATCCTTAGGGTTTACAACAACTGATGTCTACAAAGAGAAGTCTTGAAGCTCCAGGCAGTACTTCAGACACCTAGTGACTTTTATCTTCTATTAGGGACCCCTATATCTACCTTCCCCTCTTCCTCCCTCCCGCTGGAGAATACCCAGCTGCTGCTGCTCCTCTACACCCCTTTTCAGCATGAAGCAGCCAAAGTGGTCGCAGTCCACAGCAGCTAGGGTCCATTCTTCCAGGCGAAGGAATGTGAGGAGTCAGATGGGATAATAGGCAGTTAGGGTTTCTGGTCCCTGGTGAAGTTATCTTTGCATAATATAAAATCTTGCTTCTTCCCATTTCTCACCCTTCTAAGAGCACATTCCCCCCTAACTTCATCCCTCATTCCTAGTTTACAAAGTGGAGAAGGGGGGATCTATAGGACAATTGATTGGATATATCTGTAAGACATGAACTGATAGGATCTGTAGTGCAAAATAGAGAAATGCTTCCAGGCAAAGGGTATGGGAATAATTGATGGAATCTATAGACAGGCCTATGGGAACTCCGATAATCTCCAGTCAACTCCTTGTTGATATGTAAATTCCTCAAACTCTCCTCCCTTATCCTATGTAACCCTCAGACTAAAAAGCCTGATGCTGTAATAAATTTTGGCTATTGACCATCAGTCAGTAGTCCACGTGTGTGATTATTGACTCAGTGCACCAAGTCTATCACTACCAGACAGCAAACAAGACAGAGGTTAATCTATGAAGCACACTGAATATAATGCTAGACACATGTGTGACCCTGAGCCCTTATCATGGATGATAATTTCTTTTTTAAAATATTTATTTGGGCCTGGCGCGGTGGCACAGTGGTTAAGGTCCTTGCCTTGCACGCCCAGGATCCCATATGGGTACCGGTTCTAATCCCGGCAGCCCTGCTTCCCTTCCAGCTCCCTGCCTGTGGTCTGGGAAAGGCAGTTGAGGACGGCCCAAAGCTTTGGGAACCTGCACCCGCGTGGGAGACCCAGAAGAGGCTCCTGGCTTCGGATCAGCATAGCATCGGCCGTTGCGCTCACTTGGGGAGTGAATCATCGGGTGGAAGATCTTCCTCTCTGTCTCTCCTCTCTGTATATCCGCCTTTCCAATAAAAAAATAACAAAAATAAATCTTTAAAAAAATATTTTATTACAAAAGCAGATCAGATTTACAGAGAGAAGGAGAGACTTAAAGGAAGATCTTCCACCCACTGGTTTACTCCCCAAGTGGTCACAATGGTCAGAGCTGAGCCCATCCAAAGCCAAGAGCCAAGAGCTTCTTCCAGGTCTCCTATGCAGGTGCAGGGTACAGGGTCTCAAGGCTTTGGGCCATCTTCCACTGCTTTCCCAGGCCACAAGCAGGGAGCTAATGGAAGTGGAGCAGCCAGATTATGAACATACACTAATATGGGATCCAGGCACTTGCATGGTAAGAATCTAGCCATTGAGGCAATGCACCAGGTCTCTGAGTGATGATTTCATTGTCCACATCTGAAATCATTCCCAATAAAAAGCTCTCTGAACACAGAGAGCTTAGCATGAGCCCACCTATCTGATCTAAATAATGAACAAAGGATCCACTAAAATCTTAGGGAACAAATATTGAAATCTCTACCATGTGTTCACAGAGCTTTTTATTGGGAATTGTTTCAAATAAGGTAGAAATGAAGTTAGAAACTCACTATACAAGGTACAAATAGAACAAATCTCCCCTCATACCTACACAACAAAAATTACACAGGACACCCTTGTATGATCCCCATTATAAATAAAATACATGGCACATGCATAGAGGGTGAGAAATATAAGTTGGTAACTCACAAAGATTATAAGAGGCCAAGGCAAAAATGAAAATCCAGGCCTCAAGTGCCGGGCATTTGGCCTAGCAGTAAAGCTACGAGTTGGGTTGCCTATGTCTCATATTGTGTCAGCTCCAACTCCTAATTCCAGCTTGCCACTAATAGGGACCCTAGAAAGTCAAAACTATGGTTTCAGTAGTCAGGTCTCTGCCATTCATGTGGGAGACCCAGACTTAATTCCCAGTTCCTGGCTTTTCCCCCCGCTTGGTCATTGCCAACATTTGGAGGTAGGTGTACTCTATGTGTTATGTGTAAGCGTGTGCCTCTCAATTTAGTTAACTAATTCAAAACCCTAGGTCTTATTATCCATTCCACCCTTCTGATAGTTATTCACTCACTCATTCATTCATTCAATGTGAGACCACTCAAAAAGTCTGTGGAAAGTAGAGTCAAAAATAATTTTACTTAGTGTGCAGTATTGTGGCACAGAGTTAGGCCACCACTTACAATGTTGGCATTCCATACTGGAGGAAAGTTTAAGTCCTGGCAGCTTCTTGATAATGCCTGGGAGGAGGAGAATCCCTTATAGTTAACCATGCCTTACTCCATTTGTGAGATAACAGGACACTGGCAGATTTTAAGCAAACAGGTATATTAAATTTTTTATGTGTATTTGAGAGAGAAATTAACAGAGTGATCTCTCAGAAGTTGGTTTACTCTCTCAATGCTAACAATGACTGGGCTCTCTCTGGGCAAGAACTGGGTGACAGAAGCACAATCCAGGTCTCTGACATGGCTGACAGGCCCATAGTCACTTGGGCCATCACTTGCTTTTCCCAGGATTTGCATTGGCCAGAAATTAGAATCAGGAGCTGAAGGTAGGATTAGAACCCAGACACTCTGATGCAGGTATGGCATGCAAAGATCTTCACTGCTTAGACCAACTGCCTGTTCCTGATAGCCACTTGAAAAAGATAACTCAAGGCCAGGCAGAGAACAGATTGAAGAGGAGCAATGCTAAAAGTAAGAAACAAATTAAAAGGGTTGGCACCTTTGCATAGCAGGCTAAGCTTCTGTTTGAGCGCTGGATCCTACTGATTCAAATCCTACCTGCTTCACTTCTGATCCAGTTCCCTGCTCATGTCCCATGAAAACAACAGAAGATGGCCCTAATCGTTGGGCTCTTGTACCCACATGGGAAACTAGGAAGAAGCTATAGGCTTCTAGCTTCAGACCAGCCCAGCTCTGGTTACTGCAGCCATTTGGGGAGTGAACTGATGGACAGAAGTTCTCTGTCTCTCCTTCCCTCCTTGTAACTCTGAATTTCAAACAAAAATAAATAAAGCTGAAAAAATAAAGAAATTAGGAAGCTGTGGTAACTTTGCCGGTGAATGATGAAGGTAGCTCAATCACCTAACCAGTAGGGAGACAACTCAGATTTTGAACTTATTCAAAAGCATAATTCCTTCTTAGAAAAATTTTGAAAACACTAAGGAACCTAAATGCAACTGTTTCAGAGAAACTAAAGGTAGGTTCTACAGAGTTATAGAAATATGACAATCTTTGAAAATAATGTCCTGTGGTTGCAGATTGTATTGAAAAGAAAATATTGTGGTGTCCCTATGGCTAAATGTGGATTTGGGCTACTCTTGATCTTAATGTTTATTCTCAAGATGGGTATATATTTGTTCAAGAAAAGGTGAAATGAGGGACAGGCTTCAAAGACAAAATGCTAACCTAAACTCTTCAGTTGGAACTGCAGATGGATTTATTCAATACTGAATAAACCAAACAATTGTGAAAAAAAAATTCTGATGATTGCATTCTGAGCAATCATCAACAAGCTAGCTGTGGTTACTAGGGAACATGCAAATTCCAGCTCTCGATCATCTTTGCAGAGGTGGGGGGCGGGGGCAGTGGTTAGGCAAATCTTATGGAAAAGAAAAGTAAGAACAAATGGGGAGATGAGGAGAAGGGTGGATGGATGAGGGGAGGAATTTGGTTTATTCCTCAGGCTTAGGACCTGAAATCTATGTAGGAAAGACCTGCTCAATGTCAGCTTTTTTTTTTTTTTAGTTTACATTTTTTCATGTTAATGTAATATGAATTCAAAGAAAAACAAATTCAGTGTGATTCACAGATAATTCTATGAACATATTGATATTCCCTCTACCCCTGTGTTTCTTACTTTCTGAGATAACATTCTCCTTGAGGGCAGACCAAAACTAGGCAGGG